TAAAGAAGAAATCAGGGAAATTTGTTTCTCGGATTTTGAACAAGCATTACAACGTATAAAACCAAGTTTTTCACGTGATGATCTTGGTATTTATGAAAGTTGGAATGAAAAATATGGTTCCAATTGAACAACAACAACAAAAAAAAATTTAGTTTTTATAACACAAAGTTTTTTTTTAATGTTTATTCATTTCTTTTATTGTAAATTAATCAAATTTTCAATGAAATTTAATTTTTTTTTTAATTTTTAATTAATTTTAACATGACCAAAATCAATTTGATATGCTCGACACCAAATACCAAAATGTTTTATATCACGAAGCGTTTTACCTGCTGGTAATTGTAATGTAATATTTGCATTACGATAACCTTTCAATGGTTTTAATGAACCATTTTCATCGGGAATTGGTTGACCAGTTACACCGGGTTTTTTTGTTGTTCCAATCCAGAAAAAAGCATCCGGTGCTTGACCATCATAATTTAGATTTCGTAGGATTATTGTTCGATCATTAATTGCATAAACTTTACCACTAACACCATGATCATAGCTGGGTAAATCACCGAGAAATTGTTCTTGTTCTTGTTGCTGAGCATTGGTCAGTACAGCAATGAAACTGATCGCTAAACAAATTTTCCAAAACATTTTTCAATCAATCAGTGGTAATAACAAAACGAATATTTGAAGGAATAATAATGATGACAATCGATGTTGAACATCGATATTTATATATATACGGATTTGGTCATCATCAATTGTCAATGATGTTGATTACAAGGTGAAACATTCTATTATAAAAAAAATACATCTTTTTTTGTTGTTGTTGAAAAATTCAATTATCATTGTTTCTTTCAAAAATACTTCAAAAACGATTTCCACTATTTTTTCAGAAAAAAAACTTTAAAATTTAACTCTTATGGAATCACTCAATAACTATTATCCCAAAAAAACAAGCTAAAAGGATGATGATGATCAAGGATGTGGCCAAGAAAAAAAGACAATTTTTTTTCCGTTTGTTTGTTTGTTCTTGAACGGAGAAATAAACTTCAATTGAAAACCACAAAAAAAAAGAAAAACAATTTATTGATTGTCATCATCATCGTCATATTAACAGGATTTTTTTTTGAAATAAAAAAATAAAATTTTGATTAAAATATATATTTTTTTTTGGTCAGTGTAATGGTGATTTGTGTGTATAATACAGAAGAAACATGAATGTTTTATTATGTTTGCGTTGCAACGATCAACTTTTCGTGGTCATTTTTTTCATTGATTGATTGATTCATTCATTTATCACATTTTCTTATGAATTCAAATTTATATTCCACAAATGATGAAC